TTTAGCTATCGACATTTTAGGAGGACTTAGAGAAAAGATCATTCCCGGCACACCTAAAGATTATGTAAATATTTATATCGGTAAATATATTATCATAAATTTAATTAAATTTATATCGTATGTATTTTTCTAAATAATTTTTTGACCATAAAATTTACATACAATCTTAGAATGCTGGGACAATGATCCAGATAAGCGTCCAGTTATAAATCAAGTCGTTGATAAATTAAATTTAATTATTACAAAAACAAAAATGAATGAAAGTGAATTATTTCTTCATTATTCTTCTAATATTAATACTTCATCAGATGGAAAATTATCTGGAATTAATCAAAACAGTTATCAGTTAAATGATCAAATGAATTGTTATGAATCAAATAAAAATCATTCCGAAATTATTCATCATTTGGCCGGTCAGAATAATGTAGAAGAATTAGAATCAAATGTCGAAGTATCTGATATTATTTATGATGATGCTATTGAAAGTTTAACGATTACAGAATTTAATAAGGATGACATATTAAACGCCTTAGGAGGATTGCAAAGATATCGGAAATTAAAAGTACTCGGCTGTGATTATACTAAGACAACTATCCTACCAATTTTACCCAACTCCTTAATGGAACTTGATTGCTCTTATACTCCAATAACTATCCTACCAACATTACCCAACTCCTTAACTTATCTCAACTGTTCCTATGCTAAATTAAATAGCTTACCAACTTTATCCAATTCCTTAACAAAACTTGATTGTAGTCATACAGAAATAACTTTCCTACCAACTCTACCAAACTCCTTAATTGAACTTGATTGTTTTAGCACTAAAATAAATAGTTTACCATGTTTACCCAACTCCTTAAAAATACTCAATTGCTCTTATACTCAAATAACTATCCTACCAACCTTACCCAACTTCTTAACGGAACTTGGTTGCTCTGGTATTCCAATAACTATACTACCAAATTTACCCAACTCTTTAATTAAACTTAATTGCTCTGTTACTGAAATAAATATCCTTACAACCTTGCCCAACTCCTTAACGGAACTCAATTGTTCTCATACTCCAATAACTATCCTACCAACTTTACCCAACTCCTTAAAAATACTCAATTGCCCTTATACTCAAATAACTATCCTACCAACTTTACCCAACTCTTTAACTACACTCCGTTGTATTAACACTAGAATAAACAGCTTACCAACTTTGCCCAACTCCCTAATATCACTTGATTGCTCTAAAACTCTAATAACTTGCTTACCAAATTTACCCAATTCCTTATTATTTATCCGACCTGAATCTTTAAAAACTCAACGTATCAATAACTCCCGTATTATTACCTAAATCTTTAACATTCTACGTTATCTTTCTTAATGTTCAGGTTTTTTTTGACAAGTAATAATATGATAAGCTTTCATATAATACTCTGATTGTTAAATTCGATTATTTTATCCAGAATATCGATGACAAAATTATGATAATAATTACATTCATTAAAAAATTGCAGTATTTAGACGCTTTAAATTTATTTCTTTAAAAATAAAGGTTTTCTTTATTCTTAAATAAAATGAGTTTAAACTTTCTTTTCTTTTCTTTTCTTTTCATATAAGAAATTTCCTTACAATTTTCGTTCCTCATTTTACATATTTTATCTCTGAAAAAAAAAGTCTAGTGTATTGATGTTTAAAAATCAATAAACAATTTATCAAAGTTATACTTGATACTTACATTAAACATGATGAACATAGTTTTGACCAAATTAATCCTCGGTCAATTGTTTACAAACAAATAATTTTAAAAATATATTAGAATTATGTTTTCGAATAAATGAATCGAGCATACGAAAAGTAACGTTAATGTTAATCATTTGCATGTCTTAATAGCTTTAACTTATTTTAAGCTAAATTTTAATAAATTTATCATTTCTAAACTCTTTATTATTTTTAACAAATTCCTTTTTGACGAAAGTCGATGTTATTAAACGTAAGAATAATATAATAATTTAGGTTACAATGGACCAATATGGAAACGGAAAGTATGAACGTTACTATATAAATAATAAGAATTTTTATAAAAGATTCATCATTCTCAAAGTAAATATATTAATGTAAGAAGAAGAAGGCATGCAATACTAATCATTTATGACCTATATGCATCTACAAAAGAGAAACTTGCAACTTTTGCCAATAGTAAAAATATAAATTTTATAAATTTAATGTTAATGTAAAAGTGTTTATTAAAACATTAAATTATGGCCTATGTTCGTAACTCGATTTTAATAGCAAACCTCCCACACATATAATTGTAAAGTTAGAATAGGAACTATTGATATATTATTCAGAACCACAAATCTCTAATATTTTATATATTTCAAAATTAAACAACAATATTGCTTGCACAATTTTCTTGTGTAGTAAGTTTTCACAGTCAAAGTCAATATGGAACACGATAAAGGTTAGAAAGGGTAAGATAAGATGAACCTAATGACATAGCGAAATCACAAATGTAATAAAAAAACAATAATCTAATAAATATATATGATAAACGAATATAGGAACGAAATGTAACTCGTGATTTTCAATTTGATATTTTAACATTCGCAGATACTGCACCATTTGTAACGTTATTTTCGTAAAAATGGCTGAAATTTACATTTTGCAAAAAGATTCAAGCAGGGAAAAAAGAAAGGATCGAATCTGTCGACCAAACTATCAAATCGGGTTTGCCGGCCATTTATGACATCTTAAATCCAATATATTAAATTCGCATAACCTGGTAAAACTTTTATATCGATAAATAGAATTTACATTCGTTTGTATTTAGATAGATAAAGAATTGGTGTAGATTCTCTTCTCAAGGTATAATTGTTTTATCATTCCTATTTCTTAAATGAATAATTAATTCGAAATTTCTTTAACGAGGTAATATTTTTGCTTTTTGCTAGAATATCTGCCAAAAAAATTTCTTGTTTCTTTCTGATTTTATTTTATAACGATGTATTCAATCAACAAGTCATGAATCTAACCAAAAAAAACTAATTTTTAGCCTTGTTACGTATAATATAAAGGAATGGATGCTTCTTTGACCTCCTGGAGAAAATGACTTTAACTTCAGTCTGCCGATTTAGCTCCATGACACTAATTAAAAATCTTCAATAGTTGGGAAAATTAACTGCAGTAGCAATTTCATTGGAGAGTTATAAATAAAGTAATTGATTTAAAAAGCTATAATGAAAAGAGTACTTGAGGTAGAAAATTTTTGGAATACCATCATTTAAATCGATGAATGTCAGGATTTTATTTGGTGTTCGTATTTAATAATTACCAAATATCTTCTGAAGCCGAAATATTTTTTGAATGTTGAAGTAAACATGACATTGAACGAAATGCTCTAGTTAGTACATTCTTTAGGTTACTCGAATATCATCAAGGAATTTTATTCTTTACAACAAATCGAAGTATGAAACTTTAGTTATTTTGAAAATTTTGCTTCAAGGTACTTTCACATATATATTTGATTTCCTTTAGTAAATTGCTTCAATACCGCTTTCAAATATATTTTTGTGGCCTTAGAATTGGATGCTAATGGTAGGCTACCTTTGCATCGTTTATTGATAATAAAGGAAATCTTTTATTAAATCAACTATCTAAACAATTTAAAGGCTCTAACGAACTTGTAAAAGTTCCTGCTGAGCTTTCTGTGATCGTTACTTATCATGATAAGCTTAAAGATTTATTATTGAAAGTTTGCAATTCACTGAGTTAAAAAATGCATTAGATACGAAGAAACCAAAGATGGTGTTTGGATAATGTTTGATGATGGTACACAAGAATGTTGTGATATCTTAGTTGACTCAGATGGAATTAATTCTCCAGGTAAACCTAAAATCCTCCCCCAAAATTCCTTTGATTAAAACAGATAAATAAATAATTCTTTTCTTTGTTTTCTTACGTTTCTTTTAGTTCGAAAACAGACTGAATTACAAATTTTTTGATTTTGAAATAACAAATATCGTTGCAAATATTGCTGTACCTAAACATCTTATGGACAGATTCATAAGTTACAAGGAAATAATTTACAAAAGTCTCTTGGATTACATGGTGATTCGTCAATGGTTATTTTTCGTCTAATTCCAATCGAGCAAGAGCCAGACAGATTACGAGAATAAAAGTAATTCTAATGAGCCTCATACAGAATAACCTTGAATTATTCATAATTAGATGATGTTGAATCTGATAAAATCAAGTTAATGATAATGATTCTGAATCGGTGTTTGAACTTGTCAAACAGATAATTCGAAATTTTGCGAATTTAATGTTTTAATATTAGAATTATGGAACTTGATCCCTAAATCAACTCCAAATGATCCAGAAAATTTTCAATTATCTGACTTGACGAAGACAATATCAAGATATTAATCTATCATCTGTTAAACCTTGGACAAGTAGTCGAGTAACATGTTGTTCATGCTATGAACCCTATTCTTACAATTAATGCTTTCCAAGATGCCCATTTACTCTCTCAAGCATTAATTAATTATTCATCAGAAGATCCTATTTTCTGTATTCAAGGATATGTAGTTTAAAGTTTACACATTTCGTTTGAATTTTTAGAAAGTAAATTGAATAATTTTATTAGAATATATTTGTTTCATTCATTTTATATTTTATCATTAGTCAATATTATAGAAATTTATTATAGATTTTCATGAAACTTTTTTTTCTAACGCAATAACAAGTTTTTGAGCATTTTTTTTTTTTTATTTATTTGTCAATTTAGAATATTGGTATCATTAGAAGTTTCTTCTTTTTTCTTTCCTAATGGTAAAATAGTAAATACATTAAGTAATAAAAGTGTGTTGAAAATATAAAAGGAATATTGAAGTTAATCTTATTTACAAACATGCAAAATATTTTTATACCTTTTTTTTATGCCAGCGATCATTAATATCGAACAAACTTTTTTAAAAAATAAAATTAATAAAAAAAAAAATAAATGAATGAATTTATAATAACAAATATACTGAAATAGCACAAAATAATAATTTTTTTTTCTAAAAATGATATTAAAAGAGATTAGACAAAATAGAGAGAGGGAGGGAGAGAGGGAGAGAGAGAGAGACAAGGTCTTTATTAATTAATTAATCAAATAAATTAAATTATTCGAGAAAAATAATATTTTATTTGTATTGTCAATTAGCCCCCAAAAAAATTTGTTTTCATGGATTAAAAATTCTAATCGTGTACTGTACATGAAAATTTTACTATTCGCATTTACATCAACCATTGATGTAGTAAAATATTTGATCGAGTATTTGAAATTCGAATACAAAAAGATTAAAATATAATTAGATCTTCGAATATTAGTTTTAATATAAAATGACTAATTAATATTTTTAAAGAATAAATGCTTGCGCTTAGCCAGATATAGATTAATCTATAACTGTTTCTTCTGGACACTGCGCAGAGGTGGCAAACATCGTTCAGGCTAAAAAAAATTTGAGGTGGAAAAAAAGAAAGAGGATACGAATATAATAGGGTCATAAAAATAGTTTTAAAAGATTTCACCTCAAGATATCATAAAATACATAAAAAAAAATTAAATAAATTCTAAACTACAAAATTGGATGAAGTAGCAAATAGGGGTTATTTTAAATGCAAAAAGGAACATAAAAACAACCAACTTCATATATTTGATATGATACATCAAGGTATCGTAGTCATGCTTATCAAAAGATAAGCATCCTAGTGAAAATTTTTTAAAGGGGAAAGTGTTTTTTTTTTGAATTTTATTTTTTTAATTGAAATATTCAAAGACGACGAATAAGATGGAGAGGTGTTCAGCTAAAAAAGAAGGGGAAAGGGGTAATAACCATAATCTATGGCAACGTAATTTCCAAGAGGATCAAGATTCATTGGCTCCGGCTAACGACTAGGGGAGGAATGTAAAGGGTTTCTACAAAAATGCCTGGTAGATCGAGATCCATCGGCTCTGGCCACCTAGAAAAATGATGGATAGGAGCAATATGGCGAGGTGATACTGTAGTTACAGCTGTAACGAGGTGGAGGGGGAGTAACTGAAACAAGGGGAGGGGAGGAACTGAAATAGTGGGAGAGGAAGAATTAAAGTTACAGCCATGCACATACATTACGCGTTGAAGCTTCTTTTTTTTTTTACTTCGACTCATATTACAAGGCCAAAAAATAACAAAAAATATTGCTTTAGTATCGAACTTTATTAACATTTAATTTATTAGACACAACTAGCAAGAAGTGGAATAAGTGGGCAAATTTATTATTATTATCATTATTTTCCTGTACTGGACGGACGGGAGTGACAGCTGGAGTTCGACTTGGATGACAGACTTATTACAAACTTGGCGCTAAAGGAAGGAGGTTATATAGTAGTTTCTTTATGTAAGAGAAGTTGACAATGTAGATCGTCCTGTTTTCTCGCTCCCTGAAGGTCTCTTAACGTTACTTACTCGCGATGTTAGAAAATTTCTTATCATATTAACAGAAAACATTTATCGAGTAGGCCATTTATCAATTAAGTTAAAATTAAATTTATTAATTTATAAGAATATAAGAATTTCAACAATTTGCCAAACAAATTTGTGTTACATTATAATCGTTACTAAATTGATATAATTTTTATGTTAAAATTTCATATTTTAATACACTTAAAAAAAACCTTCTTTTATCTCTTCACGATATTTCGCTTTCGCCGTTTTTAACATTATAATATTTAAATTGCTTCGTTTATAATTTCCGTAATTGTGCAGCTATAATTAATTGAAGTTTTATTGATTAATATATTGACATTGCGAAAGTGTAGAGCTCCGAAGTTGAGGCAACGCTTATTAATTTGATATTATTAAATAAATTTATTGTCAACATTATTTCATATTTACTCAATAAAAACTTTCTGCTTACATTTAAAGTTGTTTATAAATGCATGAAAAAGTAATACATCGATACCATCCTGGTCGAAAAATGAACTACAAAGACTACCACAGTTATCGAAAACAATTTTTAAAAATAAGAAAATATAAAAATAAAAAATTTATCGTAAAGAATAAAAGGAAAAGGAAAGGTATATGTTGTAAGAACAATTTGGCCAGAGGACAATTCTTGGAATTTGAACAACTTGTCCTCGATTACAAGGTCTAACTAAAATGACAACTTTCTTTATATAAAATCGGCGGTGTTAAAAGCTTTTGACCGACCATGGACCGACTGACTGGTTGGCCGACCGTTTACTGACCATGATTGAATTTCACCATTCCTTGTCTTTCGTTCGTGCAAAACGATGTACTTGGTGTAAATTAAGTTTTATCTCTGTATTATATTTTTTATTAAAAGTTCTAAATTTAATCTTCTGTGAAAGGAATAATCAATTTAGGAAAAACTTCGTGGCTGCGGTGACGTTTAAGTATTTCAAATGCCTCGTGAAGTTTCAAGGTGAATAAGATACAAATCGAAAAAGTCACAGACACGACTGTGAAAATACAAAAGAACTCACATTTGATCATTGTTTACCTAATCATTGGTCTGAACCAATGGAATTTGATCCTCAGGTATTTAATTTTAACCCTGCTTTTAACTGGTAATCTACTTTTCCTTTGTCATCTTTGCTGAAACTAAAAAAATTTAGCAAGCCGGGAGTAATCCGATTTCAATACAGGTTGCGGTGTTCTGTGGCATTTATTCCTTTTCTAAATTTTCATTAGGCGTTTATCTTTTGATAAGCATGACTACCTACCAATTTCATGCAAAGAGAAAAGAAAGTCTATTTTACTATTTTTACGCCGCTGAACTCACTAGCAAATTCAATTTTGGTAAGTTCAGTTGTTTGATGAAGTTTAGACATTTCCGACGTTCTTTATATGTCTTAAACAATTTATATATACGATATTTATTGTAGTTTAAAAAAAATTAAGTTACTGAAAATATGGGAGTTGGGATTTCCGATGTTTTGACTGAAATTGATTTTCGTCTTAAGTTGGATCTTCGAGTGTCAGATACCCTTGTTGTGACTGAATTGATTTTCGTCTGAAGTTGGAGTTCAAACGATTTTCGAATATCTGAAATTGGAATCTCAATTTCAGACACTCGAAGATCCAACTTCAGACGAAAATCAATTTCAGTCACAATAGATCAATCCTAAATCCAAGGATTGTAAATTATACAATTCAAGTCTATGATTCCTATAATCTTCAACAAATAAAAATTTTTTTCGAAAATGTTTAATAAAAATATCGTACAAGGAATATTCTTTATATATAAATTTTTAATTTTAACTTGAATGGTTGTTGGCAATTCATATTCTTCCGCGATCAAAGAACTGTTATGATTGTTGAATGCTTTTGCAATTCCAGACTTATTCATTACAATTAGACTAATAGATCCGTCCGCTTTATCATCATTTTTTGACAAAACATTATTTAAAAATCTAAAAACATCTCCGTGATTGTCTGCAGTAGTTTCGGTTTTCTTTGCTTGCTCTTTTTGTTTTTTGACAAATCATTTTTCAAAAATCTAACAACCCCTCTGCGATTGTTTACAGGAGTTTTGATTTCTTTGTTTGTCCTTTATGTACTGGAAAAACGAACGTTTTTTCCAGGTTATCGTTCTCATTTACACAATTTTCTAAATTTGAAGGCACGACAGGAGGCATGGTAGGGGTAGCTCGCAAAACCTTGATACGGCCACGTATGCATTTACAGTACTTCATGGCTACTTGTTGTGCAATTATTGGAAATGGCCAAAGAATAATATATTTTCCCAGATAAATTATTGTTTATACCGACTGGTATAGTGTTAAGAGGTGTAATATTGTTAACGTTATCTTTTATGTCGTAAATTTTAATAACAAACAATCATTGATAAAGGTGAATGAATAATTAAGCGAATGTTTCAATGATGTATCAAACTGATAAAGAAAATAATTAATAAAAAGTTCATACCTGATTTAAAAGTCGTAGTAAGAGACCCATCCGAACTTATAGCTATATAAGTGGGCGATTATATTTTCCTTTTTATCAACTGTCATTTATGATCGGGTAGTTAACCATTTCTAATAATAGCGTTTTTTTTATATAGTTACTTATCGTGTTTATATATACATTTTTCTCCAAAATCAAAATCTAGTTATTTATTGTTTAGATTTTAAAGATAGGATTTCCTTTTTTTTAATATTGTTCGTTTGACCGTTATCAAAAATCAAAAAATAATAAATGGATTGCGAATAAGGAAAATACATCTATTATAAAAGTTTATTGTTGAAAGGAGTTTTCATTTGAATGATCGTTACCAAAAAATTAATAAGGGATTTCGTTTAAATTTAAAGACTTATTTTGAATGATGAAAGTAATAATTTATTGGTCGGATAAGGTTTTGCTATTGTTCTCGTTGTAACTCAAAAAAAATTATATAAAAATTACACCACTGTAAGGCCAAATTGATTCGTCCATAGTTTCTTCGGTTTTGTAAATTTTTTTTTTTTTAATAATAAAAATACCAAGTGAATTATATTTTCTAATTCATTTTTAATTCAAAATATTTAATTTCGATGTTTTTTAAAAAAATCAACGTTTGTAAGATCTGGGTGAGTCCTCTTCTAATTCAATGGATGAACTGTCATAAAAAGTGATTAGAACTGATGCAAATTTGTTGAGATATCTAAACTTCAAACATTCTTTCGTCAACATTAAGAACGGCTTTAGTTCTCTTAAAACAATCAGTTCGTAACAATAAGTTTTCATCAGAGATTTAATTACTTATAAGGTAATTGGCATTCGGATAGGTCCAATCGACATTTTAATAGTGTTGTTTGTATTCAGTTCTTTCGTTTATGTATTTATAAACAATTTTAAATGTAAGCAGAAGGTTTTTAATGAATAATTATTGAATAAAAATGAAGTAATTGTGACAATATTTATTTAATAATATCAAATTAATCAGTGTTGCCTCAACGTCGGCGCTCTACTCTATCGCTATGTCAATAAACTAAGTAAATGCCAAGTAATAAATTCTAATTAATTAAAACTGCGCAAATTACGAAACAATTACATAAGTTGAATAATAAAATACTAATAAAATCGGGAATTAAAAATTAAAACAATAAACGAAATTATAAATACGAAATTATAAAGTTAAAACGGCGAAAATCGAAATTATCGCGAAGGTGTAAAAAGGAGGATTGCGAAGGGAATGTATTCAAAGAAATATATTAAGGGCGAGCATGGGATATTGAGCTGTTTTAGGATTTCCAGCTCGATATATATATATAAAAAAATTAATTAAGCCAGCCTGGCATCTTGAACATTCGTTATACTGGCACCTTGACAGCCTGGCGCCCTGACAACCTGGCACCTTGACAGCTTGCAAATGATCGTTAAAAAGACTAACTGTAATTATCAAAAGCGATTACATGCGGAGTTATGAAGATTTCGGCCGGAATTTCATTCGATCGTAACAATAGTATTGATTTTTCCCAAAACTCTTGCTCTTTTTCCGTTAGCAGTATTAATAAATAATTTTTGAAAGTTCATCGATTTGTAGTTTGAATCTTTTAACCAAACTGCTTGTAATTATACTATTAGCTGCACCTGAGTCAAGAATAGCTTATTATTGTAGTTGAATTGTACAGTGCACCTAACAGCGGTTGTAGGCATTTAATCATTATCGCTAACATATTCATCATCAATTTCAACATTAGTAATCTCCTTAACAATGACTCATTTTAAGGCATTAGGCCATACAACTTCGATTTTTCAGTTCACGTAAATTGAAATTTTCAAATCGACCTGGAGACTCAGAGATTACCGTATTCCTCCGAAAATAAGCAACATATTTTTGCTATATTGTTGCTTATTTTCGGGTATGTTTGATTAACTTACGATGTACAATCTAAAATCTGCTAATTCGTCAATAAATCCCGTGATCGTTGATCGCGTTACAGCTATTCTTATAATTCCTGGACCACCCGGTTTATTTTTGTTCCGGAGATAAATTTTTTCTCACGCAGTCATACGCACAAGATTATAAATGATCAGCAGTAACTCTGGCCAAAATCTGTAATTTAGACCTGAATTAATTTTCTATGTGTCACGTGTGTAATGATGTAAACAATACTAAACAATACAATTTCTTAATTTATGACATGTAACACTAATTTTAAATACTTATCGTTTTATTTATTTTAAAAATTTTTTTCTCTAACGCTATTGTATATTGTTTATAAAAATGGCACAAATAAACCCTTTACAATATCGTCCAAATGCTTGCCCTTTATGCTTAACTTGTTTAATATGCACGGAAGTATATGGCAAAAACTGTATTTGTCCTCCTAAGGAACTGAAATGGCAACGAAAGAGCAGTGAATATAAAATTGATTTCCGTCACAAGTCACTTGATATGGTTGCAGCCAGAAAACAAAAGATAAAGTTAGACAATGTATTTGTCAATTGGTTTTATAGCAATATTTCACCAGACTTGGAAATATCAGAGGATCAACATGATGCAAACGTTTGCAGAAAATGTATTAATAAATTTGATTATTACAAAAAAAGTACGTGTTCTATATTTTTTATATAAATTTTTTTTTTTGTTGATTATAAGCTATTATTTATCTTTATTAATTTTTTAAAGCATTGAATCAACCAAGGAAAATTAAATCTAGATCGGATTTGGGTAGTGAAAAAATAATGATTGATTTAGATATTAATGAAGATACCGTTGGTGACATTTGTACCATTGATCTTACTAAACAGCTTCCACTAAAAACATTATCATCACAAGATCTTAATATACCTGAAGTGAGCACTTCTGATATATCCATTCAGAATAAAAGACAGAAGCAAAAGCAAATTATTCCAAGTAAATTTTTGATTAATCAAAAATTATCATATCTATTAGATATTAAAATAACACAAACATATCCATTTTTATATAATATTAGCTCATATTCCTTTAGTATGTTTTAATCAGTATCAAAAACCAAGAAAAAACTTGATAGTGTGATATCAATTTCATTTATTTTGGATGATGTGAATAATTTTGGTCAAATTGAAGAGGCAATTTTTTCTAAAGAACTTCCGAAAACATGGGGAAAATTAGATAGGATTTTATTCTTATCAGCTATCTAAAGGTGTAGGAGCCAATCATTTTAATTTAAAATCAAAGGAATCTGTTTTAGCATTTGTAGATAAAGCTAAACGTAAGAAAAATGTGCAATTATCTGTTTACCAAGAAAAGACAACTACAAAATGTAAAGCAATTACATATGGAAGTTCAGTTTCAGATACAAATGGTTTAATGGTAAGTGTAATAGCATAATTTATACATGATTTTTATTATTATATTTGTTAACATTTTCATATATAATTATATTTTTAGGCGGGTGAAAATGAAACAGAATCAGCATTAAATGTAGCTAAAAAAAAATATATATAAAAATCTTAAAAAATGCCCTTTTCATATTCAAGGATGCCTAATAGCAGAAGATGGTCAACATTTAAAGTTGAATAATGAATCAATTACACTATGAGCTTGTGCTATGGTAAATAAAGATTGTATTATAAAATCTAATCTTTTTAGCCTACTATATTATTATAATAATTTATTATTTATATAGGTAAGCCAAATAAAGGGTGTAGATGAAAATACACTGTCACCAATGCCAATTTTTGATAAAAATAAATACTAATTTCCAAAATCTAAAAAGTTTCGACTACTGAAATTTTAGATTCAGGTAATATATTATAATGAGTTTATTGATTTTTTTTAATATAATATACATGATTCTCACATTACTAGTTTTTTAGTTTCATTTATGATACAATCAAATGACATTACACAATCAAATATCATTACACAACTAAATATTATTATGCAGTCAAATAGAATTATGCAATCAATACTTCATTCAATAATCCTTCATCTTAGAAAAAAATCACCTTTTAAAGAAAATATTCATGTAACAAAAGGCATGACCTTTTCCGATCTTATTAATTTTATTTTTCCTGCTAGATCACTAAAAGATAAACGTTTTATTTTTAAATCATCTTTTGAGGCAGATGGAAAGCAATTTTTACCTAAATAGATTATGCATGATATTTTTTATAAGGAATATGCTAATGTATAGATTAATATGAAAAAAATAATTTCAAATTATGATGATCTTTTTGATTAAATTCTTAATAAGTACATGTGCACATATGCTATTGTAAATAGTAATAAATTTAAATAAATCAAATTATATGTTGAAAATATTGTTTACTATATTTTTATAATTTTCATTTATTATATAAATCTATTTCTAAAATAATATCCAGCATGTTCAAAACATGCTTTAGCCAAAGTCTTACCAATCATTATACAACTAAAATTTAATTTTTGATATAAAAAAATGCTTGCTTAATCTATAATAATACAATCAATTAAAAATTATAATATCAAATGAAATAACTAAATTCTTACATATTGGATTGTAATCTGAAGAATAGAAGGGTAAAAATTCAAATCGAATTCCTTTTTCTTCACAAATATCTCGTAAGTATTGACTCTTATGTATAGATGCATTATCTAAAATTAAAATACTGTATTGTGCAGGATATAGTAACATTTTTAGCAGCTTATTATAAAGAATACATTAAATGTGTTAAATTTTATATTTGCTTTAGCATGAAAATTTGTTAAAAAGAATATTTTCATCAGATTTCATCGATCCTTCTTGAATGCCATATGCTAATAGGCCATTTACACATAATGCACCTTCAATTGTAAATCTGTTCTCTAACAAAAAATGTAGCTTTTCTTGCATGATGTTTACTAATATTCCATCCATACTGGTGTGATAAAGTTCTCCTATCATCAGCTGATTCATCAGTACGTAAAATAAATTCTACACATTTATTTTCTTTCCTCTCCTGAACAGGTTTAGATAATTACAATACATAGTATATATAATGATTAGAATATAAATAATAAATGCAAAATATTATTGTTATAAATATTTGGTTATACTGTTTATGTGTATATCCAAGGCAATGTATTGCTCTTCATATTATATTGAGATTAAGGCTTCGTTCTAACCAAAGTTCCATTTGAGATTGCAATTTCCAAATGTACCAATCTACTTTTTTTGAGAAGTACTTCAAGATATTTCATATCATCATTTCCAAAAATTCTTGGTCTTTCACGCAAAGTTAAAATGTTTTTTACACATCCGTATTTTTTAAAAAGGTAATAAACGCAGTATACAGTAGTTTTGCTAATTCCTAAATGTCTAGCGATTTGGCGTTCTGATAAACCTGCCAATGATTTTTCAACTATTTGCCAACGGATATGTGTAGATAGTTTAGTCATGACAAAAAAAAGTCTGTATGTTTGTTTGTTTATCGTTATTATTTATTTAACTGAATTATAATGTATTACATAAACATTCATATAAGAAAATACTGTCGATCATTTATAAATCTGTGAGTATGACTGCATATGAAAAAATTTGTCTCTAAAACAAAAATAAACTAGGTGGTCCAGGAATTATAAGAATAGTTGTAAGAGTACATAATTTTCATAAAATAACTGTCTACAGCTAGAAAAGTTTATACTTATGAAAGATCACAGGTTATATAAAAAACCGATTCGCTTGACCAGTATGATTGGAAGCTGAAATTGTATCAACGCGAAGAATATATATAAACCTTCATTGATAGAATTTTTTTACTGGTATTGAAGATTTGTACTTAATGTAAGACCGTCTCGTCTGTATAGCTAATAATATGAATACAATTATGCCTGTTATTCATAACATGTTTAAATCATTTAAAGTTGAAACAAAACGTCTAAACATTATAACAATTTTCAGGATAAGATTGGCAATCGGTTGTTAATTTGAAGTAGAAGTTGCCTTTATTATAAGAAAATCACTGAATTCTTCAATAAAATAATTCGATAATATGAGTGTTAACTCTAAATTTTTTATAGTGATTTTAATTTAATATTTTTAATTGTTTATTTTATTTTAATAATTTTAGTTTTTAAATTTGATTTATTTTAATTGATTTTATTTTTTTTAATTTTACCTAAACAAAAAAACCACTTTTATAATCGCAGGGTTCAAATATTTAATTTTTTTGATTTTACTATTTTTTAACTTTGAATATATATAATATATCCTCTATTTTTTTTAATTTAATTATCTTATTTTATTTTTCGAATCATATTTTAAAAATTGAAAATCGAATCTTAGAGTCGAATCTTTGAGAAATGATAATCGCGATTAAATCGATTCTATAAATATCAAAATCGATTCCAATCCCTACACCAAGAACGTTGAGCGTAAGTTTTTTAATTTCCAAAAAAAAACAAACTGGCGTTTCTAAAGTACATTTAAAAACAATAGAAATTTAAAATAATATTAGCAAACATCATGACAAGTCATATACTAAAAGCACCCCAGATTTGAGTTTTATATTAGGCGTCAGACGACACAACACTTTGAGGCAATATAAAAGCTACATACTCGCACAAAGGACAAATTTAGGCTTGCTAACAATATACGTAAAGTATAACACATTACTAAGAGCGTTAAACGTAAGTTAAAATTTTCAAGAAAACTAGACTAAATATATATTTTTTTTTTTACTATTTATTCATATAAGAAACTTTTCATTTGGAGTAAAAGGACTTTCTTTTGAAAAACCTGATTAAACAATTTTAATGTCGATTAAAAAAATAAAAAAGTAGTGAATATATCTAGGTAACTTATGCGTTACATCATGTAATAAAGTCCGTTATTTGTCACGCATTGTTACATCACTGATTTTTTATTTTAACTATAAAAAAAGCACTTGAGGATGCTGCACATGCAATAAGACCATAATTGCTATTACTTAATAACGTTTTGACATCAAAACATAACACATTTTCACATGGAAATTTTACTGATTCAGGCTCTTTATTACTTTCAAAGCGAGTCCACCCAGGTTTAATTAACAAATCTTTTTCTGATGGCATATTTAAGAGATTTGATTTGGCGAATTCTATTGCTAGTCCTCTATATTTTATGCTTTGCATTCTGCTATATTCCAAAAATGTTCAGCTATAGAATTGCCACATAAGTTTGTATATCAAATTCAGGAGCATTAGGAAAATTTTCTATTTCCTTTCCTTTTAGACCTTGATGTTCCAAATATTTTAATGCAATTTCAATTACTTCAGCTTGTACTGGAACATTGGAAGAATTATCTGGAAAATCTTTTCATGAAGCCATCCCGGTAACATTTCTACTCCAGCTTCATTAAATCTTTCTGTCAATAGTTGAAAATTTTTATTTTGATTAAACATGTAATATGTAAGCAGTGCTTGAAAACAATATTCATACTTGGCATATCCTTTATTACAGCGTTTGAACTTAAACCTTTTTTGCAAGTTCATATTGAAAATGAGTTTTTTATATTAGATCTTATCGCATATTGACGCGTAATTACTAAACTGAAAAAAGATTTTCATGATTTAGAATTGAAACAAAAAAAAATTAGTGAAAAATTGAAATTTTTGTAGGAATTTTGTGTGATTTTTTACTAAAAGAAGGCATTACGTGTATTTTATAATAACACATCATATGATTTCCATTTTTCTAAAATGAATAGGTAATATTTTCACGTTTCAATTTAGATTTCCTCTTCATAATAAGTATCAAATTCAATAAATGTTTGTCATTCACCCAATCCACTCCACTTTTAAGGATTAATCCTTGTAAAATATTTCTCGTTTCGCTCTTGCATTTGCCAAATCATTCGACAAAATTTTTAACTGTAATGTTACAGCTTGATTATTTCCTGAATTCTCATAATATTTTTAATTAGATTGGAAATAAATTCGTTGATTTGCATCATCAATGTTTTATTTTCTCTATGTCGAGCTAAATAAAATGATATAAATCAATATTTGATAAATACAACTTTGTATGATGATAAAAAAAAATATACAGTCGTACCTCTATATAGTCACCCTATATAAGCACAACCTTTATATAGTCAACAAGTTTTTTGCGCTAAAATTTTTAATTAAAGAAACGACCTTTATTTAGTCACAATAGGGTTATAATCACAATCACATCAAATACGTGTACCCAAATATTACAAATAACCTCTATATAATCTTATCACATGATTTAATTAGAAAATATAAATAGCTAAATTTGGTCACAAAAAAATATCGGGAGAAAATGTTTAAATTTCTTCTACGTATTCCCTGTATAGTTATATAGTCAATAAAAATGTCATTAAAAAATATGTCAGTTTGATCATACATTTTTTTTAGTGATGAATTTTGTTAACTTTTAAAATAAACTTTTCATTTGGTGAAAATATCAAAAATACTATCAAAAGCGCCGTTATCTTACCTAAAGTATCACTAAAGAATCACCAAAAATCACTCACCACCTATTTCAAAATGCCAGTTATTTCAAGTCTAAAAAGATCACGTTCTGCAATAAGTGATAACATAAAGTAACAAATATGTATATATTTTATAAACCCGAAAATAAAAATAAAAGTCAACAACAAATTGCTGACTATTTTAATCAGCAAAATTAGAATCTTCATATTGACCGTTTAACAGTTTCCAAAATTTTAGGAAAGAAAGCTAAGTGGCTTGCAATTACTTCAACACCAGCTAACTCTAAAACTTTTCATTATAGAGAAGTTAAATATTCTCAAATTAAAATGCATTAGGTTTATGGGTTGAAAATGCAAATGCTAATAATCTTGTAATTTCAGAAATGTTACTTAAGGAAAAGGCTTTTTTTTTGCATAAGAGCTTAATATTCCATGCGATAAGATATCTTTTTCAAATAGTTGGATAGAAAAGTTCAAAAAATGGAATAATATTCATAGCTATCGCTTACATGCTGAAGCAAATAGTGCACCATTAGAAATTCTTTCTAAGGAAAGAAAAAAATTACAAGAAATTTTGCAAGACTACACACTTAATAATATATTCAATACTGATGAAACTGGTCTTTTTTTTCATATGGCATCTAATAAAACTCTTGCATCAGCTCCCACTCCAGGAACAAAACAGGTAACTCAATTATTTACTTTAAATTGGAGTTTTATTAGTTTTATTATTGTTTTTTTTTAAGTTTTAAAAATTTTTTTCACAAATTTTTTAAGATAAATCTCGTATTACCGTTCTTTTGACTACAAATGCTATTGGTACACAAAAACTTAAACCACTTATAATCAGTTCCTTAAAAAATCCTAGATGTCTCTACCGAATCAATAGAAATTCCCTTCTATACAATTATTATGCTAATTCAAAGGCACGGATGAGAAGTAATATTTTTGGTAAAATGGCTTGAATATATTAATATTATATTTTAAGCACAAAATCGAAAAATATTGTTATTTATAGATAATGCATCATCTCACTTCAATTCTAATAAGGATAATAATCAAGAAATTGAAGAAAGTGGTAATTTGAATTTATCACATGTTAGAGTACATTTTCTTCTACCTAACACAACAGCTCATTTGCAATCTATGGATACCAGAATTATTAAAAGCTTTAAAGCAATTTATAATTTATAAGCAATATTATATACGACATATTCTTCATTAATTTGAAGCAAATGTTGATTTAAAAAAGTAAGTATTTAATTTAATGTATTTATTATATTGATTTCTTAAATACTATATTTATTTAATAAAAAAACAAATTGTTTTTAGAAATAAAATTAATGTTAAAGAAGCTATAGAATATGTTGCAAAAGCTTGGGATTTAGTAACAGCAGAGACAATTACTAATTATTGGTGAAAAACTGGGATTTTACCAACTATTAATAATGATGATATTAATGATATTGATGATATTGATGATATTCAATAAAATGAATTAGCAATTCAAGAAAATCAAAAGATTATTGAAGTTCTTTTGCAAAGATTTTCGTCTATTCAAGATGAATCTTTTTTATTAGAATTGAATAAATATTTAGAAATAATTGACTTGACAATTTTAACAGAGCAAGCACTAACCGATATTGAAATTATACGTTTTGTTTTAGATGAAGAACGTAATAAAGTTGAATTAGATAATAGTGAATCTGGCAATAAAAGTTTGGCAATAACAACACAAGAAGGCTTTAACGGACTTAAAACATGGATCCAATATTTTGAAGAGCAAGATGACAAAGAATTTAATATGGAGAAAATGCGTATTTTTAGAAAATATATGGATATTATGCGACAGAAGCTTGTAGAAAGTAAAAACAAAAAACTATTACAAGTTTTTTTATGCCAGTTGATATACAAGAGGTGGATTGATTTTTTGTAATTGCATTATTCGTTTCAATTTATCTG